AAAATACTAGACTAATTAAACCTTAAGGGACTATGTACTAGTTATGTAAGAGACAAGATTGCCAAATGTTCTTAGAGTTACAAGGACAATCCATATTAGGAGGCAATTGCTATCAAGAACAAAAGGTCAAGCAAAGTGCATGCGAGGAAGACATCTTACTTCAGCCTCAATGACCACCAGAAGGCAGAAAAGACCCCTTAGTAACAGCCCAAGCATGCACAAGAGTACTACGTCAAGAAAACGGAACCAAGAAGTCATAAAAAGGGACTTATTTCAATGCTTTGCGCGGCAGTTGGTAGGGCGGTGACCCCCCTGTCGCCCAGCGCTGCATTTGCTCATATTCCGCTTGCTATTTCTCAACAATAAATAAATTTTAATTGGTACTTTTATCATTTGTGGTCAAAATTTATAACACCCGGAGCCGAGCTGGCCACTGAGCGCCCACCGGGGGGTGTTTAAGGCAGTGCCCAGCGTTGCCCAAGGGTCTGGTCCAGTGCAGGCGGTGTTGCCCAGGGTCCCATGCTGGCTGCGGGCCCCACTGCTCGCTCTGTCCTGCTCGTGTCACACCTGCCTGCGTCTCCTGGTTGTCTCAGATCCAATCTGCTTTTCCCTGCTTTCTTCTAGCGACCCTTCCCGGACTGCCTGAGGCTGACTACACCCGCTTCTCTCACTGGTGCTGATAACCTTTTTGCATTTTCCTTTTGCAGCCTTTCCTTTTCCGCGCTGATGACTCTTCAGTCACCGGGAACACGCGACGCAAAATGGGCCCCGAACTTTGCCCTCAGCCAATCAGAGCCCGTCCAACCTCCCCGAAAACGGCCGCGCTCGGCTGATTTTGGGGTGTCAGCACCTGCCCGGCGCTGGGGATGGAGCGTGGGCTGAGAGCTGGGGCCGTACTGGTGGTACTGGGAGCTCCCCTGGCTGCGGGCGAGGAGCTCTCGGGTGAGCGGGGGGGACGGGAATGGGGGGACAGTGAGAAAGGGGAGGAAAGAGGAAGCGAGACTCCCAAAAGTGAGTGTGAGGGGGGTTGGAACCCCCGAAATTAGTGTGTGTGGGGGGGTGAGAGCCCCAAACTGAGCCCAGGGGGGTCTGAGGATTGGGGTGGGAGAGGGGGAAAAGGGGGGGTGGGACAGCAGAAAGAGGAGTCCCATGGGAGTTCCTCTGTGTCCCCTGTCACTTGAGCCCTGGAGCGGTTCCCTGGGGCTTTGGGGGCGGGGAGGGGATGTTTGTCCCCAACCCCGCTATCCATCCATGGGGGGCTGATGGGGTGGTTCCCCCCACCCTACAGCCCGTGCTGCTGGGGCCATGGGGCAGAGGGGGGTGGGAAAGGGGGGGTCTGGGGTGGCTTCCTGAGTTCCCAACGTGCTGTGGGTGCTGGGGCTGCTGGGGTAGGGGGGCCGCCCCCTGATCTGTGTCCTGCATGTGGTAAGTAAAAGCACCGATTTTATTCCAAGCAAATTAAAATAAAAAGGGGGTACTAACAAAAGAACTATTTCTGTATATTTACTAACTTCTAGGCATACCGTGGAGTCTGTAAGGTGAAGGGTCCTGTCTGGACCTAACACCAGGGAATCTTTTGCGGCTGGGAACAGGGAACAAATTATAAATAAAAATGTATTCCTCTGTGCCATGTGGATACAAAGAGAGGCCCTCCATGCCTTGCAGTGTGGTGATGATGCAAGACCCCCCCTGTACGAGCCCAGGGGAGATAAGTTACAACCAGCCAAAAGGTAACACCCACCTCCAAAGCAGGGGAATTACCTTTTAAGGCAACAAACGGACAATGAATGAATATTCAACAACTGATATCGAAAGGGTACAAAAAAGCGCGGTTTTTAAACAATGTGTGTGTGTCTCGGGCGGGGCACTTGCCCCCCAGACCACCCAGCGCTGTTTGCTTTATTATCGCTTGCTTAATAAATTTATCAATTTTTAATTGGAATTGTCTAAATTCTTATACTAACTTATAACACTGCACACACAGGGGTGTTTCAGGAGTTGTCCACGAGTGAGTGTCACTTCATCAACGGCACCGACCGCGTGAGGTTTGTGGAGAGATCCCTCTACAACCGGCAGCAGTACGCCTACTTCGACAGTGATGTGGGGGTCTTAGTGGGGGACACCCCGTATGGGGAGGAGATTGCCAAGATCTGGAACAGCAGCTCGAACTGGCTGGAGGAGGCGAGGGCTCAGGCGAACATGTTCTGCCGGCCCAACTGCAAATTACCGAGACGCTTCCTGGTGAACCCTAACGCCCCTCAGCCAATCAGAATGCACCTCTCTGATGACTTATCAGTTGCCAGGCAGACCAGCAGCGCCAATTGCCCCCCAGTTGTTTTCAGCCCCGCCAGGGTCCTTCTCAATCCATTCCGAGTCACTCCCACTGTCCCCCAGACCATCCCAGTCATTCCCAAAGCTGCTGAGTTCATTCCTAGTCCTTCCCAATGCCACCCAGACCATTCCAGTCATTCCCAGACCCTCCTCGTACATTCCCAGTCCTTCTCAGTCCACTCCCACATATCCCAGCTCTCTCCTGAGTGGTTCCCCAGCCCTTCTCCCTGTACCCCAGTGTACTGAGTCCCTCCCAGTGCCATCCAAATCCCTACCAATGTTCTCCAAGCCCTTCCCCTCTCTCTGGTGCCCCCCAGCTCAGCCCAGTGTCTCCCCTGTCTCTCCCAGTGCCCCCCAGCGTGTCCATCTCGCTGGTGCCGTCGAGCTCCCAGCCCGGCCCCAGCCCCTGCTCTGCTCCGTGATGGATTTCCAAACTCCGTGAGGGAGTTTGGGGCAGTCTGAGTGGGATAGGAGGGAGGTTGGGGGGGGAACTTGAGGTGACTGGGAGGGAGTTGGGGAAGTCCTGAGGGGCCTGGGAAGAGACTTGGAGGGGTATGGGGGAGGCCTGGGGGTGATGGGAGGGGCATTGGAGGGTCCTAAAGGGGATAGGAGGGGCTTTGTGGGATACCAAAGGGGCTGGGAAGAGGTTTCAGAGGGTCCTGGGTGGGCTGGGAAAGAGACTAGACAGGGTTTGTGGGGTCCTGGGTGGTCTATGGTAGGTTTTGGGGGTCCTGACCCCCCCAGCTCTCCCCAGAGATGCTACAGGACACTGTCCAGAGCAAGATCCTGGTGGGGATTGGGCCCGAGGCACTCCCCAGGGACACCTGGGGAGGCCCGGCCCGGCCCCTGTGCCTTCACCGCCCAGCGCTGCCGCGGCAGGAGCGCGGCGGAATTCCCGAGGAAGGAGATGGTGAAGGCGGAGCCGCACGGACACGGCGCGGCGGGGGGCTCCGTTCCGCTCCCAGGGCCTCCTGGAGCGGAGCCCTTGATGGAGCTGGACAGGGAGGGGTCAGCAATTGCCCTGGGAACGTTGTACTCTCGGCTAATCCTGGACGGAGAAGAGAAGACAATCCCAGCAGGAATGAACTGGCTGGCCCAGACGCAGTCAGGCACGCTGAGCCAGAACTGGGGGAACAGGAATTGCAGCAGTGGGAGGTGGCGACTCCTGGAGCACCTCCTCAGAACGGCCCCAGCCTGCGATGAAGGAGGAGCTGCACATCGACTGATGGGCACAGGGAGGAGACATAGCCGGCACCGAGAGCTGTGAGCGCCAAGGAGTAAGCTAAGAAGGTCACAGGATACAAACCTTCTGTCAAGGTCTCTTAGTCAATCGGAGAGATTTTGTGGCGCTGCTCGGCTCGGTGGGGCCGGGGAGGCGGCAGCGGGACCTATGGGGCCCGAAGGGTGAGCAGACCTGTTGGGAAACAACCTCCTATAAAACTAAAATTACATACACAAATAATTTAAATATATAAATAAATAAAATAAATTATATACACAATATATGGTATACAACAATAGAGAAATTTATATAAAAAAACAAAATACAAAAAACTCAAGCAAATAAAATATAAACAGATAAAATATATGCATAAAGAAAATTATATAAATATACAATAAAAATATAAACAATGACTAACTGTTCTTAAATAATAAAACAAACAATATATAAATGAATAAATAAACTATATGAAGTATATAAGTAAAGAAAAATATATGAACAAGCAATTAAAATAAAATTATGTAAATAAAATTATATAAATATATTAAATAAACCAATAAAAATATGGAATAAGTAAATATATAAATAGGCATGCAACTAAAATATATAAATAATACCAATGCATAAATTATAGAAATAAGCAAATAATAAAATTACATAAACACATAATATAACGAATAAAGGCTATCATAAACAAGTAACTAAAATATATAAATAAATTATAGCAATACATAAAATAAATAAAATTAATAAAATCAATAGAAACTATAAATCTATAAATAAAGATATAAATAAACAGGCCAAAACTCCCCAATTTCCGCCCCCACCCCCGAAACCCCTTAAAATCCCTCCAATCCCCGCTAAACCTTACCAACCCCTACAAAGCCCTCCTCCCCGCGCCCAGTCCCCCACCCCTCGAACCCCCAAAAAACCCCCAGCCCCCCGAACCCCTCCTGTTTCACCCCAAACACCCCTCCCCGCGCCCCTCCCCACTCAGGCCCTCCGCACACGGGTGGGGGGGGAAAAGGGGCATGCTCATGGTCAGCGGCCAATCAGGGAGCGGAGCTTCATCCGGGGACTCGCGAGATCAAGGGTGGGCACTGCCATCTTAACGGCACGCCCCCTTCTTCCCCCTCAGAGACCTCACCCTCCATTTTAGCCCTTCCACGCCGCCTTCTTACCCCCTTTCTTGCCCCCTTCCCGCTCCCGTCCCGCCGCGTCCCCTCCCGCGCCATCTCGGGAGAGTCGCCGGGGAAGGCGGCGCCGCGCGGCGCTGGGGAACAAGACGGCGGCGCCACCGCAGCCCTGAAGAGTCCGAAAGGCGTGGAGCAAAATGGCGGCCGCCACGCTGCCGTACGGGCGCAGCCAGTCAGGAAGCGGCATTGTCCTTACGCGGGACAAAGGCGCGGCCATTTTGGGTAAGGGCACGTGACAGAGGCAGCCAATCAGTGCTGAGCATACATAACTTTTTATTGGTTGTTGCATTTAAAATCAATGAATGGGGGGGGCGATGGGCGGCACTTGTCCTCATTTCCGGTTGGCCTGGGCGGTGCCGATCATGCACTCGTTCACCTGTGGGGGGAGGGGGGCGGGTGTGAGACCCCAAAACAGCCCCAAATCCCCCCTGTGACCCCTCAGACATCCCCACATCGGCCCCATCACCCCCCCAAATTCCCTTAGTGACACTCCAAACCCCTCTAAATCCCTCCTAAAACTCTCCCAGGACCCCCCCCACACCCTCAAATCCCCCCCAAAATCCC